CCAGAAGAAATTACTAGGAGAAAGGGAAAAGTCTTTTAGAGTCTCTATACCTAAACTAAGAGTGGTGGTAGTTACAAAAATATTAACAGCATTTACATTGTTTCTCCTGACAAAGATAATACCGTGTAACAGCATTATTTCCGAATGTTGGGTACATCCAACCCTCACACTGTGTTTTCTATCAGTAGCTTAAAAAGGTGTATGGTATCAAGATAATTATGCTTGAAGTAGTCTTAGTGTGTTAATCTTCAAAATTTAAATAAAAAAAGAGCAAAATCCCACTGTCCATGCAAATCTCCAAATAGACCTATCTTATTACCTGGCTTTACACCCAGGAAGCAGATATCTGTCATCTACTGGGTTATACTACAAGGTATTTACCCGGACCTTTAAGGTGACTTTACACAGATAGGTGAAGCAGATTTTTTACGCCCTGCCTTGTCAGGCAGACATATGCTTTTCTGTTACAAGGTTTTCAAATCAGGTTTAGGATGCAATATACTCTGTTTGCACAGAGAAACAGAGAGAGCATAAATAGTTCTGGAACCACTCGATCCTACTTCTGGAGGAAGGATGAAGGACAGGAGAGCCAGCCTTTGAGAGAAGCACAGAAGTCCTACGTTTGGCCCTGTCTGCTGCCTGGACTCTGAGCTCACACTGTACCCATCTCTCTGTCTTTTATGTTCCTGGATGGAGGCTGTGCCTGGCCATTTGTTCACCTTGCCTGAGTCTGTCAATGGAGCCAGCTCTGCCTGCTGCGTTGCATCCCACTGGTGAGGGCACTGTTTGCAGTGGAGTCACCTTTGCCTCCTGGCTCTTGCTATGTCCTGACAAGTGGCTATTACAACAGTGGTTGCAGGAATAGATTTAAAAATCAATGGAAACAATATTCATCTTTTCTGACAAGTAACTGGACAGGTCTTTTCTGGGAAGCCCTCCAAGTTCTCCATAATCACAACCTAAGTTGATTTCCAAGCCTTTAAGCATGGCCTTAGGACAGACCTTGGCAGTTTGGTGAATGCCTTAGCTCAGTAATGGCTCAACGGTTTTAATGCCAGAATGAGAAAATATATTCTGAGAAACAAATATAGTTTTGTATTATAAAAGGACATGAATAATGGCTTTGGTTTCATTTAATGGAAGAAAGTCAAAGAAAAGAAGATCATCCATAGACAGGAAAAAACTTAAAGGTAGCGTGCTATTTTTCCTCCCCATATTAAAGCAGAACAAAAGCTCCTGATGTATTGAACACAGCAATCCCTAGCCATAACATTATATTCATTTAAAAGACATGGTGGAAATGGCTGGAGTTTAGCCACTAGATCGACAAATAGATGGCACATTTAGAAGACAGTAAGTGAACCTACCAGAGCACCCTACATCATGTCCTTCTGTTTTGTAATTAATTTTTTGTCTTTGTTCAGCTGTGTTCACATCTTTTCATTTCCCAAAAGATCTCCAATGCCCTCTTGGAGGTAAGGGAAATTAATACGGAGAAAAAAATAATGAGGTTAGTAGGTGTTGCTATGTACGTTGCTAGCTTTATATATTCTTTTAGTAGGCACTTAGAAGTTCCTACAATTTGAGACAGTTCTATTTATTGCTTTTTTTTATTCGTCTTTAATACTCAGCAGGCTCATCTTTAAAAATTATATAGATAGTAAATGGCAAAAATCCATCACACTAACCCGCCAGGTCTCTTAAACTTCAGTCCAATAAACCAATTAAAATATTTAAGATCTGATTCTGTCCAAGCACTAGAATCCATCTCTTGCATAAATGTAGCATGATGTCATGATGACACATCATCTTACATTAAGTATATCAGCCTATTTCTGGAGATGTTTCAATGACAGGACGTAACTGATGAGATTAGATTAGGTTTCGGAGGAACTGGTTACCTGTTCCAGACAAGGGGATGAAGAACTGGTGACTGCAGAGAAATGCCTAGCAGACAAGTCCTTAACAGATCCAACTGATAGGACAAAACATAGTTAAGAAAGGCATAGTTAAGAAAGGTAAAAATATGAGAAGTAATGGAAGGGAAAGAGGTAATTTGTCCATCTGTTTCATCTATGACAATAAAGAGAGATCTCACACGAAAGTAAAGTTTTTAGGAACCTACAGGCTTCTTATTTATTTATTTTTTTAAAGTAAGAAATTAAGCTTTCTGGCTTCTGTGATACTCTCTCTCATTTGAGTGTGTAATATCACTGGCACAATCATGTCACTGTAGGAAACATTCAATAGGAAAGTCCTGCTAAAACAAGGACTGAATTAATTAGGTTAACACAAAGAAAGCCCGACGTTCACTTCTAATATCATAATTTACAGTTTCCAGTGCTTCTGCTTTCAAATACAATCTGGCTATATATTCTACTGGTCTCCTCTCCACCTACTAACATTTCTACATCTCTCATCTCTGCCTTCATTCCCTGCACTTTGCATCAAAGAGAATATAGTCACAGTGGCAATTTATTGTGGTCATCTCTCAAATCAAACATTCTTCTCCCTTTCCTCTTCTAAGTGTGTCAGATATAAACTGACATCCATAGCATGTACAAGGGTTGATCCAAAAGTAATGCCTCCTATTTTATTACATTGGCCCACAACAACAGAGGCAGACGGTGGTACAGCAGTGGAGGTTCCTGCCAATACTGTGTTACATTCTGCTGCTGTGGTAGCAGTCTGGCAAAAATGCTATCTGACATGGATGCTTCTATGAAGCAAAGATGTGTAACTGAATTCCTCCATGCAGAATAAATGGCACCCACTGCCATTCATTGATGCTTACTAAAGACTTATGGAGACCAAACAGAGGATGTGAGCACAGTGAGGTGATAAGTGGTGCGTTTCAGCAACGGTCACACTGGGTCACCTCTGCTGGTGCAGATGGTGCACAGCATGCAGCTCTTGTTCACCACTGGTGAAAATACATAGCTAATGGTTGAAACTATGCTGAAAAATAGTGTTTTGTAGCTGAGAATTCTCTCTATCAGACAGTGTTATTGTGCTCTTTATATCTGGTGCACTTTCCATGGAAATAATGGGAGGCATTACTTTCAGAGCAACCCACATATAAAGAATGACTCCCCATTAATCCTTCATTTATTATTTTAAGGTAACAACTTCTGTGACTTCTACAGCAAATGTCTATGAAATTACACCACAATTCAAACTGCACAGAGTGTTGATTTGCTCATTACACTCATTCTACATCATCACAAGTTTTTATATTATTTATTCTGCTTTTGAGTCTGCAGAATTAGTCCTGGCTTCTGTTACTCCACTCACCACAACAGCGTATTGAAAGTACAAAAATCTTTATCATATGTTTCAAGTTATTTTTTCTCCCTTACAAACCTCTGCAGTTTGTACTTTCCAAATTAACAGCAAAAATTTTACAGGAGACAAGGTTTACTACTTAAGTCATACCTGACAAATGAGAAGAGGGACACACCAACCACATAGGACTTACCTCTTTTCCACCCCCCTTATACCCTTTTATCTTATCAATGCCTGAAGGCTCTTTTCAATGCTACCAGAAAAATCAGGGTTAGGAAGAGAAAACAGAACTCTCCTACAAGTGGGGATGGAAAGAAGTTCCCTAAGGAAAGCGAGACCAAGATAGAGACCTGTCCCACAAGAAATCTTTCATTACAACAACAGTATCAGACTCATCTGTGGCTCCCAAGGATAATTAGGGTTAGAGTTCAGTTTCTAATGGACAGACATAGTTTAGAACTGTGGTGTGAGAAGGGTTCAGAGTCTGAAGTCCTCTTTCTAGTACACTTTCTCACCACTAGAGTTTCTGTACAGAGGACCACAGCATTACACACTAGCTCTGTAATTCCATTTTTAAAAATCCGGTCTACATGCATAATGAATGCACTGTTCCATCCTCCCTTTTTCCACCCTCTAATTCTCTGCATAGCTGAAGCCATAACAATCTACATGTATTCATTCAGCAATCCGAGATATCCTTGTAACAATTGTAACAATGAGATTACTCTTCAAGCATTCTGAAGAAAAAGTATTTCAGCCAGACTTCTGGCACAGAAAAACCCAAACCTTTGTTGCTTAAGGCAAAGAATCAAGGAACTCTGCAATCACGACCATGCTATCTCTATTCTGTACCACTGACTGTAGGAACTTCAAGATCTGATTGGCATTTTCAATGTACTGCAACATGTGGAAGCCATAAATACCCCAGAATCCTGATGCAAGTTCTGCATCAGGCATTGGGATAAGAACAGTGCTTTCTTGCAAATGTATAATATTCAAGCATACGTGCTACATATACTGCACAAGAATTACCTTCCCTCACCATTCATACAGACAGTACTGAGGAAAAGAAAGTGGTGGTCCTTTCCTTCAGCATAACATTTAGACCAAGCCAATATTTCTATTTTAATTACATTTACGATATTTCCTGTGGGTATAAGTCATGAATGCAGTTCCAGTGTGCTGGGAGCAACATAAATATAATCACTCCCCAAGGGATCTTACAGCTGTTATACATGGGTCAGAGATTTTGTGAAATGCAAAATGTGAAATTTTAAAAGCTTTCTAGCCCACATCCTTCCCATTCCTTTTCAAAGTTAAAATTAATGGACAACGAATAACACTGCCCCAAGGTATGCGAATATTCACTCCATTCACAAATAAAAAAATATTTAGCAATAAGCAAACGTCCATTCCTATCTCACTCAGGAACTGCACAGAAATTATCTTCTAATTCAAACCAACTCCACTGTCACTTCATGCTGAAAACCGCATGACTGAAGACAAGAAGCACAGAGCTGTTGTGTTTCTTCTACAAATCATTCTAAGCTTGGGAAGGAGAAGTGTATAATCACATTGCAGTGTACAAGTCCAGCCTCTTCCTTCTATCCAATTCCTCGCCTTCAGTTTTGATATGAGACCACTCAAAAGGCCATAAACAAACTCTTCCTCTTGTCAAAAACAGCCCACAGAAACACAAATGATTCTGCACCTACCTCCTATTACAATCTTGGGAAGAAAACACGCACATCAGCTGCTTCTCTCAGGAATTATGTTCTGTTTTAAAATAAACAAAAAGAGAAACAAGACTTTAAACAGTGCTTTAGTCTCTCTTCCCAAAGTCTGCCTCCACTAGTGTTTGTAAATATTTACTTAGCAGGAGTACCTTCGCTCTCCAGAACCAAGGTAATGATTACATTACACTAACCATGGCATAAGGACAGAACAAGGCCATTACAACAGCATTGCTGGCACCAACCAGACAATGACATCAGGTCTCATTTCAGCAGGCTCAGTTGCGCAGTACTGAGAGCGAGTGGGGTGAGAAGGGAAATGACAACCATGGGAAAAGAAAATCAAAAAAACAACCAAAAACCAAAAGACCTGGGTTTAGAGGTAAGTCAAAAAGAAAAAAACAAGTTGACAGAACAAACAAATGCAGCTAAGTTGAGAGAAGTAGACGAGCCAGAGTAGTTCTAATGGAATTTCTCATATTTGTTCATTACTATTGCTGCCTTTGAAACAACCAACAAAGCATAATATAAGGCACTATTTCTTTAGTCTCAGCCACAGCTAAATCAGTTCAGTAAAACTTCAGTGGTGTGACAAGGTTTGCGTAGTCTACTGCCAAAGCCTTTAAAAGAGTCAGGCCCATTAAGCATACGGTGAAACAAAAACAAACCTCCAAAGGACTGAGTTACACCCTTTCTCCACCCCTCTACCTGGCTAGTGATCACACAGATGCAAGTTACTTTGTGAAACTAACTGCAGTTCAGGCAACTTCTGTGCCAGACATGAAAAATGCACCAGCTTGCTGGCAGGGAGCCCTCAGTGGAGATGACAAGACCCACGAAGAGAGCTTAGATTTAGAAAACAGTTGGGCTTAGGAGGTTGCTCTTACTGTGCCCACTGGATAGCCTCTAGAGGCAGATCTTCTGCACCAGCGTGGTATCAGATATACAAGTACTCTGTCACAGATTTCCAGCTCGCGTAGACCTGGATTCAACAGACACGCTGACCTTTGAGTTTCCAATTACCTGTAATACTCTACAGCCAATTAGTAAACAAATAAGATTCACGTTTGTACTGCCTGTGAATATAACCAAATGCTCTCAGTTGCCTGCTTTCCCTGCATTTAAACTGCAAATTAAAGAGCAGCAAAATCTTTTTTCTTTTTTGTAGGTTAGATAAAGATTACTTTAGAGGAACTTTTTTTTCCCCCCATCCACCCACAGTATAAAACCTTTCACATTTCCCATGATCCACAGAATCACAGAATATCCCGAGTTGGAAAACCCAGAAGGACCACCGAGTCCAACCCCTGGCTCTACACAGTACCACTTAAATTCCAAACCCTATGTCTGAGAACACTATCATAGGATACTCCAGCACTCGGGCCGTGCCCACTGCCCTGGGCAGCCTGTTCATGCCCACCATCCTCTGGTGCAGAACTGTTCCCTGACTTCCATCTCCCATGGTACTGATTAAGACCAACACAAGGAGATAAACTAACACCCAACTGATGGAATTAGTTTCCCATAGGGACCAGTTGTTCCCGACACATCACTGTGCAGTATCCCACATGTTCTGATGCAAACTATTACTGAAGTGGGGGTGCGGACAAAGACAGAGCATCGCTCTGGTCTAGCTGTCTTTATTTACCAGATGAGAGCACACTTGAACAAAAAATAAAAGTAGAAACTCAATAGAGCCATTTAAGACAGGGGGGCAGAATTTAACAACAGCTGAATTAGGTGCCAAGGAATTCAAACTGAATGTAATTACCAAAAAGTAGCCAGTAAAAAAACACAGACTGATATTATTGAGGAGAGATTTTTCCATCAGTAGAATATGACAGGGATTGCCCAAATCTGATTGCATGGCAAGATTTATTTTGAAGATCTTTAAGCTTGAGGACAGGTTTAAAGCAATACTAATAGATGATAGTGCTGTAACTTCCACAGAAATCCAAGTTAGGAGGCAAAAACCTTGCCTAACAATTTTTTGTTTCCTTCCTCTATGCAAACTCACCTCTTAATGTTGTCCACAAAAAGCAAACATATTTGTATTTTTGGAAAGCCCACAGCAGCACCACATTTCATCACTAGGCATTAGTATTCACAAATAGCATGAACCTTTGCCTAGCACGTAATTAAGTGACTTTGAAACAATGTCATTAACTGAAGGAGTATCGTATCTTTTCCCGTGTTTGTATTTAGTTTCAAATTTACCAGCCACAACAACAGAGTGGGGAAGCTCCTGCTGTGTACAAGAACCTGGCCTTGCAGGCTCCTAACAGGAGCTCCTGTTAGTCAGGGGCTGCACTGTATAGAGACTCAATAAACAATGACATCTGCATTCCTGACAATTTTATTTCTCAAACGTCAACCTCACAGCAAGTTTCATTTTACTTTTTACTCTGGAGAAAAGGCCAAGCCTGAACGTAACAGATGCTCTCTGGAACACCCAGGACACATGAGAACACGTGTGGTCCCCCTCACCACTGCAAGATAAAACAGCTTTCTGGAAAATGAAGTGCTTTTCTAAGCAGAAAAGCCTTTATATTTACACTAATCTGACACAACAAGGTCCTCTCAGTTAAAAAGAACAGTATTCACACAGGAGCCCAACCAAGTATAACTATATTCCCATGAAGATCTTATCTTTGGTCTGGACAAACAGTCCAATGAACACCACACTGCAAAGCTCTTAGATGAATCTGTACTTCTGAACAGTGAAAGCAGTCTTGTTTACAAAACTCTAGAAATGATCTCTTAAATTCTTCCCCTCTCTCTTGCATGATGGTTTATTTTCAATGTAATTCACCAGAGCAGCTTTCAAAGTAGAAGAAAAAAAGCTGTTTTCCTAAGGGAGGAGGAGTATCAGTTAAATCACAGAAAGCAAATGGCTTAGCCTGGTTCATAATTCACTTAAGTCATGTTTCAGGTCTTGCACATCCTTACGTGGCATCATCCTGCCTGCAGACAATAAAAGCAAGCTTTCCTCCTTCAAGTCTCCTACTGTTATGGAGTGCATGTGGTCCAGTTCCAGCCTGTCATCAGCAGGAGTATGTCTACTGCAACCCATCTTGCTCTGAAATGCCCATGCCCTTGACAGCTCCAGCAAATCTCACAAAGGGCAATGAAAGTAGTGAAGTGTTAAAACTGTAATGCTCTTCTGTCTTTGTCTCTCTTCTTTTCTCTCTTGCTATCAGTTGTCTGTTTGTCTCCCAACAACAAAAGCAAAAAACAAAGCAAAACAAAAAAAGCAAACCAATTACTATGAAGGCCAATAGGGAAAAGGATATCAGTAACAACTTTATTTCCAGTGTTACAGCCTAGCAGCTAAAATCACGCCAAAGAAAGAAATTCAGAGAAAAAAAAACAAACAAGCTAAGGAACAACCAACCAGACAAATGAGAGTGAGGAGGGAAATGACATAATAGAATAGGAGGCACAACTTTCAGAGAAGCCTTCATTTTAGATTAGATATTAGGATAAAATTCTTTACCATGAATGTGGTGCGGCACTGGAACAAGGTTCCCAGAGAAGCTGTGGATGCCCCATCCCTGGAAGTGTTCAAGACCAGGTTGGATAAGACTTTGAACAACCTGGTCTAGTGGGAAGTGTCCCAGCCTATAGCAGGGGGGTTGGAACTGAACAGTCTGTAAGGTCTCTTCCAACACTATGATTCCCATCCTGTCACAAGCCCAAGTGCTTCCTGACAGCAATGCCATAATTAAGATGATAACACTGGGCATTCTCTGAATTACTGGATTAGAGTAGCAGAGCTCTCTGTATTTAAACCTTTCACCTCATTCAGATAATTTAAATAATTCTGCTCATGACCTGTTTATGCTACTCTTCCTCAAAGTATTCAAAATTAAAAGCAACATGAAAAAGCTAACTGCACTGCACTTAGGTTGGTATTAGTCCTACCCTAATAAACCATTGCTCCAACAGATAAAGCAATACTTCAACTCCCTGTACCAGTCCTCTTGTCATCATCTTAAAAACAGCATTTAGAAAACAAACAAACAAACAAAAAACAACAACCACACACAAACCAGCAAATAAATCACCAGATTGAAGAAAGGTAGTCAAGTATTTTATTTCCAGACAGCTAGCCTGAAAACACTAAGTAGCCAGATTCCCAAAGGTAAGCACATAACAGCAATCAAATATTATACAAAGGTTTTCAGCCTAAATGGTGAGCCCCAAATTACAGTTAAGTTGAGAAAAATCATGGAGAATTTCAAGAAGAAAAGGGTTGCTTTTCTCTCATTTTTTCCCCTTTTAAAATACAACACATAAAGATAGAAGCCTGCTGACTGTCCAAGTAATTCCTTCTCTACATTTTCCATTTATCAGTCAATATTTGATCTGGACAGTGCTGCCTCTCCAGACTTTTGATGCTTACTTTTATCTGACTTTTACCATAATATGAAGTGCACTCTATACTGTAGAGGAGATTCTTCCAATATTTAAGAAGATGAAGTGGAAAAAAAAACAATAATAAAGTATAAACATCTCCTCATTTAACCCCACTTGGAATTGGCAATTCCAAGTTGTGATTCACCCCCACCAAGGAAACAATTAAAACTAAAATTTGGAATGTTCATTTTCTAGTGGGAGGAAAAAAAGAGGTATAAAACACAAGGCTATGACTGTAAAAGCATAATGCAATGAAAAAAAAATGGACTTTTCCATAGTTCAGTTCTAGCACCCTGCTTAAACTGCTTTCCCTATATGTTCTTCCAGGTTCAGAGCAACAACTTCCAAGACTCTGTGGTCATAATACAGCTGGTTGTACAGAAAGGATGCTTAATAAAAAGAAATACTCTATCCAATACTCCAAATAAAAATCACAGATATAGGTTTTCTTCCTGGATGCAACAGCACAAAACTGAATGAAAGCTAGGTCTGGGAGCAGAATAAATACAATGTCTCAAACTCAAATTGCAAAAGGCTAGTTAGCAGATTGGCTGTATCCACACCTCTTTAATTAGGTGCATTCTGTCTTTTTGAATAGGTGAGAGAAGAAAATTTGCATACATG